TGGAAGTAATTAGCCAATTAAACAGAACTGTGCTGAAGGGGAGGAGCCGTCCAGACAGAGAGCCAAGTCCGCTGTTGAGGCCATTTGCTTGGCCTGTTTGGGGAAGAGCCAGATGGTGGGTAGAGTTGGAGGCAGCGAGGGAGGTACAAAGGAGTGGGTGACCAGGCTGCAAGCTGGAGCCTGGCTGGGAGGCCATGTCATAGAGCGCTGTCGAGGCCATGGTGGGCACTTGGGATTTTAGTCTAGGTAGGATAGATAGGAAGATCAGGACTTGCTTCAAGTCCCGCAGGGGCCTTATAGTGCCTTCGCCTCTAGGTCAACGGCCACCTGATGGGAAGAACCGACTCACTGGAAAAGACTGATGCTGGAAAAGATTGAAGGCAAAAGGAGACAGGAGACGATCAGATGGTTAGATAGCATCCCAGATTAAATGGGCATGAATCTGAGCAAACTCAGGCAGATAGTGAAGGACAGAGGAGCCTGGCATGCTGCAGGTCATGAGGATGCAATGAGTCAGGCGTGACAGCAACGAGGTCGAAAGCCCCTCCTTAGCATGGCATCCAAAGCATCCCTGCTCGGGGGCTCTCCTCTTCCCCACCCACCCCCATCTCCACCCACACCAACCCTAGAGCTCTTGTGGCCACATCCCTGCCTCTTCCTGGCACATCTGGCATATCCTTCAAGACCCAGCATATCCACCACTGCCCCCACCAGCCTTCCTTGGCTTCCTCTGACTGTGAATCCTGGCTTTGCATCATGGACACACTCCTGTTATACAGGGTCAGTGCTGTCCCTTTAAGGGCCCTCCTGTCCTCCCAGCCTGGGGGCCTAGAGTGGGGAGCGGGCTCTGGGCCTGGGTCAGAGCAAGCGGAGTAGGTAGATGGGTGAGCACATGAATGAGTGAAGGAAGAGTTAGCTCATTAGCTCCCTGCCTGCCACACAGTAACAAGTAACCCACAGAGCTGGGCTAGCTGCCAGCTACATGGGTTTACATCCAACCTGCACCAATTACTCCTTTGGGGACTCTGGGCCAATGACTGTGCCTTCACTTTCTCAGGTATAAAACAGAGACAATAATGATGCCACCTCCTGCCCTGTAGAGTTGTTGAGAGGAGCAAATAAATTGGTGATTAAAAATACTTAGGATGGTGCTTAGCACACAGTGATCACCTGAAAGGTGCTAGTAATATAGGGGCAGCTATTGTGGCAACTCCGGGAGTTGGTGATGGGGAAACCTGGCGTGCTGCAGTCCATGGGGTTGCAAAGAGTTGGACGCGACTGAGCGACTGAACTGAATTGATCGCAGCAGTGGTGGGGGGCTTGAGGAGGCCAGGGGAGGGTGGTGAACTCTGCTGCCTTCTTCCCAGCTTTGTGGGGGGCAGTTCTGAACCACAGGTACACTTCTGAGAAACTGTGTGTCAGAGGCACTGGAGGAAACCTTATGTTCACTAATCTCCCTATAACACCGAAGTCAAAATCGCTTTGCATTCCCAAACTCCTCCTTACCTTGCTGGGACCAAGTGCCCTGCCCTTTTCTTAAAGCAGATTTGGGGACATAGAGGTGGGGTAATATAAAGAAATTGGGCTTATACCTCGGGTTGGTTTTCCTCACTCTGCCACCTGTCAGCTAAATGCCAAGGGAAAGAGATTTCACCTCTGAGCCCTAATTTCCTTGGCTTTAGAAAAAGCCTTCCCTGGTGGCTCAGTGCTAAATAATCTGTCTGCCAATGCAGGAGACACAGGTTCCATCCCTGATGCAGGAAGATCCACAAGCTGCAGAGCAACTGAGCCCATGTGCCACAGCTATTGAGCCTGGGAGCTGCAACTACTGCGCCCACGTGCTGAAACTACTGAAGCCTGTGTGCCCTAGAGCCCCGCGCTCTGCAATCAGAGAAGCCTGTGCATTGCACCTAGAGAGTAGCCCCTGTTCTCTGCAAGTAGAGAAAAGCCCATGCAGCAATGAAACCCGGCATAGCCCCAAATAATAAATAAATAGATAGATAAATAAAATTAAACAAAAAAAGAAAAGGCTGATGTCCTGAGACCTACTTCTGTGGGCTGTGGTGCGGTCTGGCCAGTGGCTCCGTGTGAGCTTGCAGGCAGGCTCTGACGGCTCACATTCTGCTCAGTGTTAGCTCTGGACCTGGGTGAGTTGCCCAATTTCTGGGCCTCAGTTTCCTCAACTAAAGACTGGGATGATAATGATGGTTCTTACCCTGTCATGGAAGATGTCTCAAATCCATTTAAGTCTTAAGCCCCAGTACATCAGAATGTGACTGGATTGGGAGACAGAGCCTTTAAAGCGGTAATTAAGGTAAAATGAGGTCATTGGGGGTCGGCACTTGTCCAATACGACTTGTGTCCTTATAGGAAGAGGAGATGAGTGACAGATGAATGCATAAGGAAGTTGTGGTACATGTACATAATGGAATATTACTCAGATATGAAAAGGAATGCATTTGAGTCTGTTCTAATGAGGTGGATGAACCTAGAGCCTATGATACAGAGTGAAGTAAGTCAGAAAGAGAAAGGTAAACCCCATATATTAACGCATAGATATGGAATCTAAAATTATGGCACTGATGATCTCACATGCAGGGCAGCAAGGGAGACACAGATGTAAAGAACAGAATTTTGGACACAGTGGGAGGAGGAGAAGGCGGGATGGTTTGAGAGAATAGCATTGAAACATACATACTACCTTATGTAAAATAGATCGCCAGTGGGAGTTTGCTCTAACTCCAGGAACCCAAAGCTGGTGCTCTGTGACAATCTAGAGGGATGGAGGGGGAAGAGATGTGGGAGGAGCTACAAGAGGGAGGAGGAGGAGGCCATACCTGTGGCCGCTTCATGTTAACGCATGGCAAAAGCCATCACCATCTTGTAAATACCCCACAATTGAAAATAAAACAATTTTTTTAAAAAAAAAGAGGAGATGAGGACACAGACACACAGAGGGAAGGCTGTGTGAAGACACGAGGAGAAGCTGACTGTCTGCAAGCAAAGCCGAGAGGGCCCAGAGGAAGCCCACCCTGACGGCACCTTGATGTTGGGCTTCCAGCCTCCTGAACCGTGAGAAAACACACTTCTGTTGCTTACAGTGCAAGTCCGTGGTACTTTGCTGTGGTGGCTGCAGCAGATTCAGATACCTCCGGAGGGACCGTGTGAGGATTAAATGAGATGACTGATGCGCATCAAGTGTTTGAAGAGGGCCGGGCAGGCAGCAAGGGCTCCACACACGCGCTCCCTCTAGGATAGGTCCTGCTCATGCAGGGCTTGGAGAGAGGTGTCAAGTCGGAAGGGGACCTCATCTCTTAGCTGTCTTCAGACCCCCTAGACCTTTCAGGACCACCTGCAGCCCACGTGCTTCAGGCATCACCGGGTGTGGGTGAGACACACAGCCAGGGGTGAAGCCGGTATCCTGTCTTCTTGGGGAAGGCGGCCTCGCCGGCTGATCAGCAGAAAGAGAGAGAAGGGAACCATGGAAGAAATAAATCCTCATGACAGGGACCAGAGAGAAAAAAAGCAGCATGTCAGAGACATGGGAGTCCAGAACAGGGCTGAATCACTTTGCTGTATATCTGAAACTAACACAACATTGTAAATCAACTATATTTCAATTAAAAAAAATTTTTTTTAAACCTGTGGTGGGAAGAAGCTGGGGAGCTGGGGGGGAAAAAAGGCCAGCAGCAGGTAAGGAGTCAAAAACTGCCACCTGCCCCCCCCCCCCCCACTTCATCCTTTTTTAAGGGCATGGACAGGGGCACAGAAGCCTGGGTTTGTTCTCCAAATGGTCCTCAACTTCCTTATCAATGAAATGGGGGTGGGGATGGTTCATTATAGTGTCCTCCTGTGAGGATGAAAGAGTTTATATAGGAAGATTACTTGGTGCAGCACCAACGTGTAGAAAGAGCTGCCTTGTATCATTGCTATTCTCTAGCAAGGATAACGAGCAGCATTTACTGCTCACGTACAATGTTCCAGGCATCTAAAAATTTTGCTTGGAACATTTCATTTAGTCTTCAGAGCCACCTTTGGAGACTGGAATTGTCATAATTTCCATTGCACAAGCGGGGACCTGAGGTCTGTGAACACTGTGTCCGAGGTCACATAGCTGAGGACGTGGCCAAGCCAGGACACTGCCCAGGACAGCTGGACCTGGGAGGGGCTCCGGGAGTGAGAATGAGCCCCCGGCAGCACAGGCTGATGTTGTCCTGGCAGAATACACCACCTCCATCCATGGCTCCATGCAGTGGTCTCACAGCCCTCGCCAGGCAATGCCACCCCCAGGCCCGCAGCCCGCTCGGCATCTGCCGGAGAATGCAGTCCTCGCCTTCAAATTCCCAGGAGGAAGCAAAGCTGAACTTTTTAATTTCTAGCAGGTTCCGAGGCTTTGTGTCTGCTTTGTTGGTCTCTGCTGAAGCGACAGACGTGTTTTCCTGTTGTACTGCCGAGCGGGCAAAGCCCAGAGAAGCAGAACAGAAGGTGTTTCCTCCTCACAGTCACTGGGAAGAGAACCCAGAGCTTCAGAGGTTTCCTTATTATAATTTGGTGATGCGCCATTTCTGTCCATCTAGAGGAGAAGGGTGCCTGTGTGGAGCTGTCCTGTCTTTGCAGGCAGCAGAAAAGGATGCCATGGAATGGGTGGGCAGGCAGGCCTGGCAGAGGAACCTGGGGGCAAGTCAGGGCAAGTGGTGGCTGGCAAGACTCGCTCAACATCTGTCTTCCTGACAGCTCCAACTGCCAGGCTCTCCAGGGCCTTTCTGGTTGGTTCTAAGAATCAAGGCCCTCCCTGGCCACTTCTGTGTTAAAGGCCAACACTGTCTCTGAGGTTCCCTCTCTACTTTCTTTGTGCTTTATCAGTTAGGATTACTTCTGGTTGGAAGCAACAGAGATCCGGAAGAAAAACAAAAATCCAGCAGCTTACATAAGACAGCTGTTTATTTCTTCCTTACATAAAAACTGGGAAGTCAGAAGTCTAGGGCTGGTGTGGTATTTGGTTATGCCTCCAGGGACTCAGTTCCTTCCAGTTCATTCCTCTAACTTCCCCAGAGTCAGTATTGCCCTCCTGGTACAGGATTGCAGCTAGAGCTCCAGACATCACACCTGTGTTCCTGGTAGGTGGGTGGAGGAAGGCATAGAGAAAAAGGTGCTCACATATCTTTTAAGGGAAGTTCCTAAAAACCATATGACACTTTTGCTTAAATTGGCTAAAATTTAATCATATGGCTACATGAAGCTGCAAAGCAGACAGGGAAATGTAATCTTTATTTGGGATGGTCAGGGCCCACCTAAAAATTGTGGGATCTATTATTATGGAAGAAGGGAAATGAATGTAATTTCATAGGGCTACCTACCTATCTCAACCACAACTCCCCACAGCTAAACTGTCTAGTGTAAGAGAAATTAATGTTTTCTGTAATGTGTGGAACATGACAGACTTCCCCATAAGCTAAGTCACTTGGTCATTGAGAGGCAGATAAATGTGTGGCTTCTAATCCTGACTTGGCCATGTGCCTTGGACAAGCAATTAAGCCTCTTTTTCTAATAAACAAAAACAAGGGTTCTGATCCCTGGGCGATAGGCTTGTCATGAGGATTAAACAAGGAAGTTGGTAAATTTCCTGGCACACGATATGTGTCCCTGGCTTTGCCAAGCTGCTAAGCCTCTCTGGGCCTTAGACACCTTGTCTATAAAATAAATCTGCTTTATATGGTTGTGACGAGGATTCAATGAGATAAGGAATTAAAGCATTTACAGCAATGCATCACTCTTAAGAAAAAACAGCAGTTGGTGAATGGTATTATTTAGACCTCTAAAAATTCCTGCAAGATGTCAAAATATGATTTTTAAAAAGTTAAAAACACAGCTCTTTTTAAAAAAATGACCCTCATAAAATATAAAATGAGTACAAGTCTTACTGAAGATTTATTAAATACTGAGGGAAACAGAAGGATGGAAAAGCTGATTAATGGACTATTTGATGTACTAACAGGCAAGAGGGGAAAGGCAAGAGAATGTTAGAATAAGATTCATAGGTTAGGCAGGAAACTGGTTAATATTCTACGTGGCAATAAAGTTATCTTTTCTAACAGGAAGAAATCACCTCCATCTTTACAGGGCAAAATCAGCAAGTTAACATGTAACATTCAGTGCATGGGCCCTGACCAATAATAAACAGTAAAGTCAACACGGGTAGGTTCTCCTAGAGAATTAAATAACCCTTGGTGAGACTGACTGCGTCAGCATGCTGTTGAAAGGGCATGCAGTCATTTTCTTGCTTTATTTCCACATTTTGGAAATGTTTTCTTAGAGGTAATTCTCAATTATTGAAAAGAGATTTGCTAATTCTTTATTGGGCACCTGGAGAAGGACAAGAAAATGACCCTGCCATCTAGTTCCATCCTCTGTGTGTGTGAGTGTGTGTGTGTGTGTGTGTGTGTGTGTGTGTGGTGGGGTGGGAGCTGAGGAAGGCAGGAAGGAGAGTGAGCTGGACTATACTGTGTGAACACAGTGTTCACTGGCCATCCAACGCTGGGAAGAAGTCCAGGAAGGAGGAAAGATGAGGAGTCAGGTGGAAAAAGGGAAGAGGAACTTTCCAGGCCAAAGAAATGCCCAGAATTGGGGTGGGAACCGACTGGCATGCAGAGGAAGCCGCAGGCAGCTCGGTCTGGCCGCAGCAGAAAACTGGTGTTTTTACAGATGAGAGGTTAATGAACTTGTTCGAAGTCCCATGGGTAGTACGCGGAAGAACTGGGCTTGTACAGAGTTCCCTCTCTCTCATCACATCACCTCTCCTCTCATTGCTCTTTAAAATCTGCCCTTGAGGGACTGAGGTCTTCGCTCAGTCATTTGCACTTCTTTGTGCTTTGAAACCAGCCTGCTGCTTCTCCTGGGGCTGCCTGAATGTTAGGCCTTGCCCTTCTGAAGTGAAATGGGAGGCCTTGACCTGGGTTAAAGGAATTCCTGGCATCCAGATGCTGGAGGGGAGGAAACGCCCCCCTCCCTGGACCTGCAGCACCCCAGGAGGGGCCCGCGAGGCCGCTCAGCAAAGAGTCATCACACACGGAGACCACCTGCCTTATCACCCAGATGTCACTTTCTCTTATAAGCTCTTTAGGTTTGATGAGAAAACTGCCTCTGGGCCCAAAGACGGAGACAACAGGATCCTCTGGCACATTCAGACTTAGAAAATTGGAGGTGGTTTAACTGCCTGGGAAGCAGTTATTTCTAGACTCGCCCTGGCCTCTGTGGAGACTGAGGACATGGGTGAAACTGGACAGGGCGGAGGGGAAGAAGCCCAATACCGCAATGCTCATCATTCCACCCTTTAAATAGTTTCTGCACGAGGTCCCTGATGAACAGCGCTTGGAGGAAATACACATTTCACATCACCTGGCGTTTGGGTAATTCATGAGCAGATACAACCACGCTGCCTCTCTCCCTTCCAGGCCAACCTTGTTCAAATGAGATCTCCTGACTTTGCAAAGGAGTCTTGCTATCACCACCCCACTGCTCACACAGCCCATTCCTTCTGCTCCTCTAAGCTAGAAGGTGCCTCTTCTTCCCCCCACCTTCGAAAATGCTTGAAGGTCCAGCTCTCTTTCAGTCACAGTCTTCCTTAGCATCTCACTCTGAGAAGCCAGAACGGCGTGCTTTCTGTCTGTCCAGGAGCCTTTCCCCTATCCATTCACTTGACAGATATTGATCAGGGATCTTGTTTTCTGCCAGACGTTGTGACTCTAGTAATGAATCAGATGGCCGTAGTTTTCTGCTTTCTTGGAGCTTAGATTCTAGTGGAAAAACTGTCCTTCTTCTATTCCAATCATGTAAATAAGGAAAAACTGCTACTTCACATTAAGCTACTCACCTATTCAGGTAAGTATTATGGAGTCCTGTTATGTGACAGGCACTATTGTAGGCACTAGGGTGGAGATGGGAAACAAAATAGACAAAGCCCTTGCCCTCTCTGAGTTTACAGTCTAAAAAAGCAGGCAGGATAGACCATAAACAAATAAGTTTGTGAGATCATCAGAAATTTAGGTAAAGAGATAAAAGGGGGTGGTAGGGTGGATGGCACCATTTAGATACAGTGGCTGGGGAAGCTTCTCAAGGGGCAGTGGCATTTGAGCAAAGACCTGAAGGAAGCAAGGGCCAAGGGAGTGGGAATTCATAACATGACTATGGGGCTTCCAAGAGGTGAGCACAAGTCTTGGTATTGATCCTCTCAGCCATTCTCCAAGATGGGTCAGGCAGTTTCTCTGATCTTGTCTTATGGATGGAGAAAGAGGGTTTCAGGGAAATTATCTTACACGAAGGAGAGCAGCATGAAGCCAGGGTGTCCAGTTTGGGGCCACTGCTTCCCTTTGTAGAAGGCGTTGGTCTCAGTGGGTCCAAAGTTCTTAACACAATGGGACTTAGACTTCTCCTGGCTCATTGTATGCTGAGGACAGTGCTGCTCAGGGTCAGGGTGAAATGCTGAGCTCTGCCCTCTCGTGTGGGCTCAGGACTGCTCTCAGGACCTGCGTGTGACTTCGGACAGGCTGCTTAACCTCTCTGGTCATCTGTATGGTGGAAATAGTCATGGAACCTGCTTCATGGAGTCCAGGTGGGGCTTACACAGTGAGCGAGTCAACACGCAGGACATGCCATCGAAGGGTCCCCCGCAGTATATTCACCAGCTGATCTTGGGCTGATGTTGTGGATTGAATTGTCTCTGACCCAAAAGACATGCTGAAGTGCTCACTTCCAGAACCTGTAAACGGGATCTTATTTGGAAATAGGGTCTTTGCAGATATAATCAAGGGGAGGGGTGAACCTAATCCCTGATGACTGATGTCCATGTAAGGAGAGAAGACATGCAGACAGAGACAAACAGCAGCGACCCATGTGACCATGAGGCAGAGACTGGAGTGATGTTTATAAGCCAAGGGACACCCAGGATTGCTGACTGCTAGAAGCTAAGAGGAAGGCATGGACGAGAATCTCCGCTAGAGACTTCAGAGAGAGCACGGCCTTGCTGACGCCTTGATTTTGGACTTTCGGCCTCTAGAACTGCCACTGAATAAGCTTCTGTTATTCTAAGCCACCAAGCTGGTGGTACTTGATTACAGTAGCCACAGAAAACTAATGCAGTTTAGCACATAAAACTAAAACTGCTTTCAAAGAGTTAAACATGTGTTCATTTGTCCAATCCTTTAAGTTAGTTCAGGGGTCCGGTGTACATTGTCACTCGTGTGCATCCTCTACAAGTAGCTGTAGTTTTGTGTATTTTACTGTATAAGACTGTATAGAGTACAGTAGTATAGTATCTTTAGTTCAAGCCCAGGATGTCTGGAAGCAAGCATAAAAGCAACAGTGATGTAGCTGGTACTACTGTACTTTTCAAAGTACTGTACTTTAAGATTAAAATTTTTTTTAAACTTTATGTGTTTGTTTTCTATGTCTCATTGTGTGAAAAGTACTATAAACCTATTATAGTACAATACTATATAGCCGATTATCAACTATATTTGGGTAATTAGGCTTTGTTGGACTTACGAACAAATTGGACTCAGGAATGCTCTCTCAGAACAGAACTCAATCGTATGTAGGGGGCCTACAGGGGCTGTCACAGACTTTTTGGCTCAGAGAAAAAGTTCTCTAGCATTTTTGGACAGTATGCCCACACTCATGAAGCTATCTGTTTAAATAAGGATGAAACATCGGAAGCACAGGCCTTCACTAGAGCTTACCGGAAACCCAGATTGTAAAATGTGAAGGAGAAAGAATTGAAACGGTCTGGCCAGGGTTCAGGCCAACATTCCAGAGGACTGATTCAAGACAGGGAACAGATCCCTGGGCCTCCAGCAGGCTCCAAGCTCTCAGCAAAAATATCAACACAGGCTAAAATGAAATAGCATGGGTGGGTACAGAATCAGTTCCCAGTGGAGATTTAGAGTTAGAGCATCTTAGAGGTGAGAGGGACCTTAAAAGTCAGCCTGTTGGAAGCAAGGCCTTTGGAGGCAGGCAATTTGGGTTCCAGTCTACTTCCCTGACACTGGGGAGTGACAACTCCAAGCTCTGTGATCCTTGGACTTCTTTCCTTCTGCAAAACAGGGACCAGGCCCTAAAG